TTTCCAAACAACATAAACAAATCTACACCTACTTTGCTCCACAGGGCCAATTTTTCCTATGTCACCAACATGGGCTCTTTTGCTTCACTTGGCCTGTATTTTTGGTATGTGTGACAAGCCTTAATAATTTCCTCAATGGTGCTGTTCATTTGAGGCCAGTATAAAACATCACTTGTCCTTCTTGTAGATTTTCTATCTTAAGTGCCATCTATTTATGCTCTTTAACATATTTTGTCTTAACCTTTAGGGCTCACCATCTGATGTCTCTAAACAAAATCCCATCTAAGACTGAGAGCTCCCCCTTTAGTTGGTGATAGGGGCTGAGAACATGCTGTTCCACCTACTCTGTGCTAATGACCTTACTCCCTTTCTGAATGGTCTCATCCTGAGCTGTTGCAATCACAGTCAACGTTTTTTCTGAGTGGATAGGTTTTTTAAATCAAATTCATATATTCACTGTCTAACTCTGAACATTGCTCCACTGCTCTTTTGTCAAATGCTTTACAGTGTGTGTCTGCAGCCACCAAATCTCTACCAGATTTGCATTCAATTTGCAAATCATAAATTTGTCACCGAAAGAATATCTATATTCTCAGAGAGATGTTTGTTAGGCCCGTTTTGGCAATGATAATAAGTGGTTTATGCAGTGGCTTATGGGCTGGATCTGGCCCACAGGATGATTCTGGCTGACTCCTATGCAAGGTGCCATTCTGTAGGAAAAAATGGTGTCCTCTATGCAGCATGATCATGATGCCTGGAGGATGCCATTTTGGACCACCTAAGATATGCAAGAGAATTGTTGCATGCCTTACTAAAACTGTCCTGGCATGCCACTGGGTTTATGGTCAGAGCACTGTCCACCCTCAATAAATTTCATTCTGGACTGGGTGACTTGCATTGGTTGGCAAATTCTAATTGCCTTGTCAAGGTTTAATTCTGGGTCTCCCAGTAGCTTCTCTGAGGTTTTGAGGATTCCAATCAGAATCCAGTCTCTTATCATTAGGCTCTTATCAAAAGGTTAGATTTTTATTGGTAAACGTTGATAAATGTTGATTTCACCAACCACACACAAACTGATGAAAAAATTATTTTTGTAGATAATAATTGAATTTTTCAGATAGGCAAAGTAAGAAAAAAAATCTGCTTGAGGAGTTATTAGAGGGTGATTTAAGGTTGTTTTCTCTGAATATTTTGACATATGAGGTTGATCATTTGTTTTCAACTGTTACAAAGCTTTAATTTTTTGAATCCTAATGTCTAGCGTCATTAAATAATTATCTGATCCCAATTCCAAATGAAATTGGAATTCTGCCAGACTACTTATCATGAACTCAGGTATCCCCTTCCCCCTACCAAAAAATCAAGATTGGTTCTTAATCCTTCAATCAGTAAGAAAGACTTCTATCGTTTCACATTTCTTTTTGTACCCTCAGATTAAAAAAAAAACTCCAATTTTTTTTTTTTACATGTCAAGGAGTACTCCTCAAATTTTTGTAATACAGTTTCATGGTAAGCCTCCTCTGCCTGAGTTACATGAAAATTGTTAAATCTGCTATTGTCAGCAATAAGGTTACCTTCTGTCTTTGTGCTGGCACCTATTATTTGCAGTGAAGCATTGTTTTAAATCTCTTCCAGTTATTTTTCATATTGCCAGAGAGTTTCAGCCCTGGAGCTTTTAGCTGCTCCTTTCTTCCACTCACATTTTTTTCTTTAATTTCTGTTTACTCCCAATAGCATGTGGTGTTTAGTAATCACATTGGGACTAAGGTGCTTGAAAGAGAATCTCTTTATTCTGTGATGCAGTTTCCCAACTGCCTCTGCATTGTAGAATGCAGGCTTCTGTAGCGCACTCCCACAGACTTCCTGTCTGGGAAGCTAAACCACTTTAAGGTACAGTTCCCAACACCATGAGAGGTTGAGGAGAAAAGTAAGAGATTCGGTGATAGCAGGGGTAAGGGAGGTTAGAAGATGAGAGGGGATGGGGCCACCTGGGCAGAAAGAGGGGATGGAGGAAAATAGTGGATAGGAATTCTTAGTCATTGAAAGGAGAAAAGGAAGGGCATGTACTGGGGGAAAGGATAGAAGGGGAAAAGTGGAGGGGGAGGTCATGCTGGATCATATTAATTTTTTCTTTAAGAAATCAGCAGGATCCTTTGCAGAAAGGGAGGAGGGAATAAGATGTGGGTAGGGCACGAAGGGAGAGTCAAACATGTGAAGAGTTGGTTGGGGTTGTAGGTGTGTGATTCTACAAAGGAGAAGTAGAATACTTTGCCTAAGAAGATGGCAGAATTAAAGGGGGAATAAGTGTAATTTAGTGGAGAAAGTTAGTCTTCCAGTTTGATTTTTGGGGTGAAATTAGCATATCAATATTTACTTGCAGAGTTCTTTTGATTCTATATATTGTCATCTTTCCATAAGACCCTCTCCTTCTGGATGACTTTTGCACAAACATTCGCCCTTTGTGAAGAGTGTTTTTTGAATATTACAGATTTCAGAGTAGCAGCCGTGTTAGTCTGTATTCGCAAAAAGAAAAGAAGTACTTGTGGCACCTTAGAGACTAACAAATTTGTTTGAGCATAAGCTTTCGTGAGCTACAGCTCACTTCATCGGATGCATTCAGTGAATGCATTCAAAAACATAAATTTGTTAGTCTTTAAGGTGTCACAAGTACTCCTTTTCTTTTTGAATATTAATTATGTTCTCACCCCAAGTGGTCCCTATGTTTATTCAGTCAGAAATCTCAGGCATCCTGATTTTTATACACACATGAATTAAATTATTCATTGCTGTTTGTTTATCAGACAGAGATGACCCGTGCCTGCTGATGGGGGGACGGAAGCGGGGGCAGAGGGAGGGCATCTGGCTTCAGCAGTGTTACTGAGCATGCTCAGTACAAGCCAAGTAGCAAATTGGGGGGGGGAGGTGTGACACCCCCCCAGGTTCCTTCCCATGTGTCGCCTCTGATATCAGATATGATTCACATTAGAGGGTAGCTCACTGTCACAAGTGAGTTGGAGCAAATCTATGGAGAATTCTGGAAATTAGGAGGGCAATTTAGAAATGAATTCAAAGACGAATAAGAAACCAATTAAAATGTCAGAGTGTGCAGACATACCAACTGTCATGCATCTTGTGTGACACGCACTTATACATTTAAAGTCACCATTCAGTGGTGCTGTGAGTATGCGAAAGGGCCATGGCTGTAATTTATCCTGGTTGAAGCAAGGAGTCACTGTGGTGCCTGAAGAGCAGGCAGCCAGATGTATCTCTCTTGTCTGTTCCCCACTTTTTCGGCTGGTTCTCAACCAGGTGGAGCCTCCCCCGGGTCCCAGCAGGGGAGGTGAGGAGTTACGGGGGAGAAAGGAGAGACAAGGGTTATTGAGAGGAAGGAAGGTGGGGCAGGAGCTACTGCCGCTGGTGGGAGGTAAGTGAGGAGCAGGAGCCATTATGTGGAGCAGAGGTAAATGAGGAATAGCAGGGGAGACAGGAGAGGGATAGTAACTAATAGAGAGGACCAGTGCTAAAGGGCCTAATGCCATCCCTTAGCAGCCACCTCTCAGGTTCCCTTCTGTCTGACATCTACACCCCCTCACTCTCCATAGGTTACCCCGAGCTTCCCCCAGGGTGCTTCTGCTTCCTGCCAAGTCCTTGCCTCCTCCTTTTGAGGGGTGCATGGAATAAGGTCCTACCACCCACTGTCAGGGAGCCCTATAAATGGAAATGTACTCTCAATCCAACTCCTTTCACTGGCACTAAAGCCACACAGTGTCTCCCAAACTGATGTTTATGGGCATAGGTAAATTATCACACATGGAACACCATAAAATGTGGCAGGTTATGAAGATGAGGGTAACAAATTACTGCTTCCTGGAGAGAGAATAGTTTAAACCAGTTAAACCATTAAACAGTTATTAAGACTTGCGTCTCATTTACAATAAAACTCCATTACACTGCTCTGTAAAGTGGTCTTACTTTAATTGTAATTGTAATTTATGCCCACTTGAAGGCCTCTTTATAGCACTGCCAGGGCAGTATACAGGATTCTTAGTGTAAATGAGAATCAGACCATCCTTCAGGAGTGACTTTAGATCACTATTCACCTGAACTGGATTAGAATCAATTGTGTGGTTGAAAGATTTATACAATTATCAGTCCCAGGAGCTAAGTGGGGACAGATTTTCAAAGTGCTCACTACTTATAATTGAGGCCAGATTTTCAAAAAGGCTCAGTTCCCATTCAACACTGAAATGAGGTCCAGACTTCCAAGTATTCAGCACTCAGCAGCTCTCAATGCAGCACCCAGGACCAGATTTTCAAAAGAGCTAGGCCTCCATTAGTTGCTTTGGTAGCATTTCTATACCTTCTAGGTCAGTTTCAGAAAAGGATCTTTGGTCACTGCATTAAAAGTCCATAAACTCTCCCTCTCTACCCCTTCCCCTGCCTCTCTCTTTCACTGGACTACAGATGACACTATTTTAAAATACCCAGTTTGCAAAAGGGTTAAATATTTAGCTCCATTTTTTCAAAGGGCTAATAAGAACCAGAGAATCTCTGAAGGCAAACCTGTAAAAATTGGAATCTGCCAATGTACATTTGTCGCAATCAAAAAAAATCAAACAAAATGTGTGCATTCATGTTGCTGTCCTAGATGTAAAAGAAACAGCTGAATGAATGTCTTGGGGTGAAATACACATTCAAGAAAACAGTTTTGCTCACACCCCCTTTCTAATAAAAATCCCTTACATTTAATTGTGAAATATCTTTACTGCAAAACAATTGTGCTAGTCATCTTTAGATCACTGTAAGCAGGCTTTTTTTCTCAGGTTGTTGTATGAAAGATCCCGCCTGTGTTTGAAATGGAATCTTCCACTATTTAGCAAGTCTTTGTTGAATGAGTCATCCAAGCTGTTTCTTATTGGCTGGGATGGTTAGCACCCAAGGGATTGCCTGGCAGAGGCTGCAAGGCCTTGCTTCATTCACAGAAATGTTGGTATGCTAGCCAGTCCTTTCATTCACATACACAGAATTTCATTCACATTTTGCAGGTTTTTTTTTATCTGCTTCTAATGAAGAGAGCCATTTGGAAATGACAGGGTTTTCTGTGTATTAGAGAACAGTAGAAATAATCTATGATGTGTATATTTGCTGTTGCTATGCTAGCAGGATGGAGAGAAAAATGAATGCTGTGTGGATACTGTAGCAGGTTTGCAGTGGGTGATGAAAGGCTATTCCGCAGATCACTAGAAATCTGTTTTTACACTGAATAGGACATTTCCATTATTCATCACTGCTGGGATAAGAGGTGCTGACTTAACTTAATGTGTCATAAATTATACTAATTAAATACCTGTATTTAAAGCTGTTTTAGTGTATTTGTACTTCATGCACTGCAGCCTTAGTCATGGGGGAAGGGAGGGAATCCCTCAAGATAATTCCTTCAAAGATATGCTGCAGCTATACTGATTCTTTTAAGAGAACTTGCACCGTTAAACTTCTTTTGTCTGAATTCCTTTTTTACAGTGCAGTATAATGTCCAAAATCCATAATTTGCAAAGCAGACCGACTGACAAAAAAGAGCCATATGGTTTATAATCTGCATTGTATTTTCATTATACTGTACATTTTGGATTTTTACAATAAAAGGGAAAAGAGATTCAAATTTTCAGTATTTATACCTATTTTCTTATTCCTCCTAGGTGTTTTTGACTGGCATTTATGCTTCACAGGAGCTAGTGCATTTTATATTCTTTACTGCAGGGCATCAGTATGCTGATATAAGGACTTTTGAATATTTCTCTGGTATTTAATTTTTCAGAGTTAAGCCAAATATTCAGCTCTACTGAAGATCCATTTTACAGTTTTTGCTTTAGAGTGAAGATCAGTGGTGAACGAAGGCATATTTCGAAAGCCTGCTGCCGTACATCAGAATTTTTTTTTCTTCAGACACAGGTATTTCATGTAACTGCATTAAAAAACAGAAAAAGCTTGCTCTTGAATAATATAGGGCAGAAAGATTTGTTTCTGTACAAAAACTGTGATGTAACAGTTTTTGTGAGAAACGGCATTGGCACAAAGGCATTTGTTAAGGCTGTTAGGCTGCTTTTGTGAAAGAAAATGAGTATAGTCTTTAGTGTAGTATGTCCACCCAATTTTTTGAATGCTGTTGTATGTCAAGATTTTCTGAAAGCCTTCAAGATATATGAATCCTGTTTTGTTTGTATATGTTGAAGCATTGTTATAATATCTGATACCTAACTGTGACCTTTTTTTTTTTTTAACAGATTGACGAATATGTGATATGGAAGAATGTTTTAACAGAAGAATAGAGTGGAGTGGTTTTCTTTTAAAGTTAGTCCAGATATTTAGAGGTATTTGTTTTTGGTAACAAAAAGGGGAAAAATTAAAGATTGGAAGGAAATATCTGTTTGAGAAGACAGGAAAAGGAAATTTGAGAATTGATTGGTGCTAGTGTGCTGTAAGTGGGTGGATTTTTTTTTTTTTTTTTTGCTACAGGAAGTGATTTGCAGTGTTCACTGAGCCTTTTGTTGAAAAGGGTCCTTCTCATTTGTGTGAGTCATGCTTTTGCTGTGAGCGACTTGGCAGCTCTAAGCAGGACTGGGATCTCTGTCATAGAAAACTATTACTTCACCCAACCTTAACGTGGAACCATACATTTATTTCAAAATTATTTTGCACTTCCTTATACTCTTTATTCTTTTTAAGCCAAAATTTACTCTCTATCCTCATTATTATGAATCTCCTGCTATGTTAGCACAGGCATCTCCTGCACTGGCATCAGATTTGCCAGAACATATGCAGGAAACCAGATAGAAGGGCATGCTTCAGCGTACCAAGTATAACCGCTTCAGGAATGATTCCGTGACATCAGTTGATGATCTTATTCACAATTTGTCCATGAACAGCAAAGTCTCAGCAGTTGCTACGACCTCAACAGCACCTTCATACCTGGTCTCGCCTGAAGTTCTCCGCAAAGACCAAGAAGATGGACCCACCACCTTTTGTACCCTCATCCATAAGGTGTCCCACTTGAAACTCTCCAACACAGGCAGCCTTTTGGGTATCAAAAATCTCTCCTCTGCAGTGAAGGAGCTTGCTGTCTCCAAATTGCAGGGAAGCTCGAGTGCTTCTAGCTCAGCAGCAGGGGCTTCAGACAACACATGTAACCTTGTCTCTGCCACTCCGTGTTCTCAGCAGGACATGAGCAAGATGAGTACAGGAAAAAAAACACGGTCAGAGGAAATGCACCTGGGAGGTGAAGACTGGAATCAAAGTAGCAGCTTTGTCAATAAACCCTCCCGAGGGTGGCTGCACTCGAATGAGAAGATCCTGGGACCTGGTGTGACGTACATTGTGAAGGTTGGTCTGCTTTCCTTCCATTCTCTTTTTTTAATCAATGAAAATTTCTCTGCAGGTTTTGATGACAGACTAGTGAAGCTGAAAGGATCTCTATGTGTATGTTCTTTTTTCTGTGGAATGCATGGAATGTAAATGTAGAAAGGCAGGATTAGAAAGCAGTGTTAATTTGTTATATTAGAGAAGAGGAAACAGGCACGTTGGCTCTATCAGTTAGCATGTTTTACAGCTATGAAGAAGATCTTTTTTCTCAAGATAAAAAGCTGTTTTTCTTACATTCGGTATTTTTCTTAATTCAGATTTTTGATTTTATCTGCCATATTGTGTATGTCTCCGATACATAGATTTTCAATATGTCTGGTGCAATCTGTAATACAGGAGGAATGAGAAACACCTTTACGTGAGACCTGTTTATCATGCACCACATTTCAAACTAAAAATTACTTCAAAGAAAAGTGCATTTTTGAGTGAAGTTGTATTTGCAATCTCATGGTGAGAAATCCACAGATTACCGTTTTGTCTCATTCCATAAATAGGAATATTGTTTATCTCAGTAGTGCAGACAAAATGCAGACTTGTTTTACGTAACAGGGATTTGGCTACCTTAAACATTATTTCTCTTTTCAGTTCATTGATGCTTTATGTCGAGAGCAGTGAACCATAGATGTCCAGGCTAATACTGTTGTATTTTTGAAAGCATTTAAAATGTGCAGTAAAAAGGATGGTACCTTTGGTAAGAAGGGGGTGCATGCAGTTTCTCTGTCATGGAAGATTCCAGTTGATGTTTTCAAATATAGCATATAGTAGGTATAAAAATAATTATACTGTTCAAAATTCCCTCTTAAATCACAAATTCTTACATATGTAACAGCTCTGATGCTTAAGAGTTAAATTACTATGTAACAGTGTTAAGCAGAAGGTAGATCTATTTTTATCTCAGTTTTTTCAGCGTGTAAAAAATTACAGCATAAAATTTAATCCACAGTGTTTTAAATGAGTTAAAGCAACACTAAATTTAGAGTAATGTGAGGTAAACAATATTAAAAACAGAGCACGTTTTTAACAATTGGAGTTTTGAGAAGTAGGTTTTTGATTGATGATAGATTTAACAAGAGATTTAACAGTTCAAAACCCTTTTTTAAAAGTACTGTCATTCTTTGTCAGTCTCAAACTTATCATGAGACATAAAGGAAAATGAATTAGTATCAGCTTTTTGAATGCACACTGCTTTTCTGTTACTATACAAGAAGTCTCTTGGTAAAATTGACACCTGGATGTTGGGTGTTAAAGTAGCGGGCCTCTGTTGTTCTCTTGCATTACAATATTCTGGTTAACAAAAGGTCATATACTGTCCTCACTTTTGCTCATGAAACTTATTCCATTTTTTTCTGCTTAAGACATCATCAGAAGCATGCAGTTACTGGCTTTTGGAATTCACTGTTACAAGTGCAATCAAAAGTAACAATTATGAAGCAGAACAAATACTTATTTTCTTGAGCTAATATGTTGATTGATTGACCACAAACATGCTAGAAGAACCTGAAAAGTTTGAGTTTGATTGAAAAGAGATGAAAGAAATGATTTTTTAAAATAAAAGTGAACTCTAAAAAACTAACCAATATTTAATGTTGGAACTATGCAAAGATTTCTCTCTATGCAATGAGTATCACATGCTTTAACCAGTCTATTGGGATATTTAAAAAAAATAGCTTTAGCATTAAACAGCCTATATTTCAATTGGGTTTTACATGTAATCAGAATGTATAACATTATGATGTTTAGCATTTATTTTAAAAATAGGATGATGAGATCTTTAACTTTTTGCTGTCTGGAATACTCACTTATAGATACAAATGTATTGTAAATGTCAAAACCAAAGTTTAAAAATGGTATAAATAACAAAGGATAACGTATGAATGAAATTAAAACCCATCATAGTTAGTTAATAATTTGCCTGTTCATTAAGTCTCTCTGAATTTTTTCCTCAGCAACTGCAGTATTCACATAAATAAGAACAGAAGTGCAGTTCCCACATCATTAAACACTGTTAGTTCCCCGGGCTTTTGTGCATTCAAAACATCAAATCAATACATAGATAATGTACATTGAAGGGAAACAGTCTTTGGATACCTCATGGCTATATTGAATGTCTGGGGGACTTGTACAGTGTTTAATTAGTACCATATGCCTTGCTGAGCATTCCATATGTCATTTGTTAAATGAAACAAAAATTTGATTTGCTGTTAACCAGAAAAGCTTTTATCATTGTATGTGTGTACTGGCATAGGGTTAGTATTTTTCATTAACTCACATCAGAAATGTGGAAATTATTCACGGAGGAGGGCAAAATGTCACCAGTGGACAGTTTGATGTAAACCATGTTGGAACATCTCCAAGTAGACTGAGCAATATTCCTATGTTGACTTGAACTGTACATGTGTATTATATACAATATAAAATATATGCCCTTTCCTCAATTTCCTTTTTTTCAAGTCCACAATTATAAACAACATATAATTTGCAAAAGAAAAATGGGCAAATATTTTCCTCAGTTATGACAGTGGTCATTTTTTTGCCAGACTTTATTGCTATCTCAGTTTTTTAAGCTTGAGCACATTGTCCATTTTGAGATGGACTACGTAAATGCAATATTTAAAAGTGGGTAGGATATATATTGCACAGGAGTTGTGATACAATATTCTGTTGCGGTGGAATTTTTTTGGACCTAAAATTACAGGTGCTATCTATAATCTGTTTTTCCTGTGAATTTCATGTGGATTATGGATTTTTTATGGTAAAATTTCATCACAAACACAGTGAAAAGGTTGTGTAACAAATTATAATTGTTCAAACTATATTTGACTTTTTAGTTCATTTGCTTGACATCAGACGTGTATGGAGACAGAATACTGAAGGGTGCTGGTATTCTACTTACACCATTGGTGAACAATTTGACAACTTGTGGATTAATGAAAACAATGAAAGAGAAAATGGCTTGTAGTAATAGATGTCCTTGAAGATCTCAATTGTTTGTTACAGAGCCTACATTTAATATAGAGTGATTATAAATGTTCGTGTTGTTAGAAAAATAAATCCATGCAATAAAACAGTGTAAAACTGCATAATCTAACAACTAACAGCAGTTAAGTGTTTCAATGAAACTCATTTGTTTCAAATTATAGAAGTCTGCTGATTATCTTAACTGTGATAATGGCATCGGTGTTTTGTTTATTTGTAGATTTAACTGACAACACAGTCAACAATCATGATAGGAAGTAAATAGACGTTAGCCTTTAAATAACCTGTGGTTCAGTCTTGTAATAAGTACCGATGAGATTAAAATAGTGACCTTCAGCAGTTTTAAAGTAAAACAAAACAAAAATGCTATTATATTGCAATATAATCCATTCTTATATTCAAAACATTTCATGCAGTGCACGCAAAAGTGCTTTGCTAGGCATAAAAACAAGCCAGTTAATGTGGATAAACCATAGAAAAAGCAGTACGTAAACCAGGTCTTTAAAAAAAATAAATATACAATCAGTCTTTCAGATCAAGGGACAAGAATTCCAGATATAAAGAGCATGACACCACAAACAAAAATTTGAATGATAAAACATTGTAAAGTACATTAAAATCATATTGCAAAAATACGTACGTGCAATACCTAATTGGCAAGGATATCTAATAAATTTGGTCATCACTCACACTGCAGTCTTGAGTGGGAGAAAATTTTTAAATCTGATAAGGAAACTGGTGGATACTTTTTTGTGTAGCAATTTGAGAGTGTAACCAAATTTAGGTCCCAATCCTACGCACACTATTACACACATGCTTAACTTTACTTACAGGAGTGGGTCCCAGTGAAATCAACGTGACTACTCTCATACGAAAAATTAAAGCTATGTGTATGTGTATGTGTTTAGAGGACGGGTAATGCTTATACATCATCGTCCATTTAGATGTTATTGGAGCATCCATGTCAGACCACAGGCAGGTTATATGAGATTTTAACAGCATTCTGCAGGCAGTTGTTGAATTTAAGGAATTATTTCCGTCTTTTGGGACTAAATCATAGCTTTAAGCACAGCTCTGAAAAGGGATTGATGTGTAAACTGCACCACCCATTGCATTTCCATGGGAGGCGTTGTACTTAAGGGCTCACTTCTGAGGCACAATTCCCTCTCTTCTTCCCCTATGCTATAGTGGGCAATAATTTGCCAATGGCCTACACCAGCAGCAGATTATAACAGCTTCTGTAGCCATTTAGTTGTTCTGGTGAGTCTTTGCCCATTAGGAAGCTCACGCAGCAAGGGAAGGGGTATTCTTACTCTCCCTTGCTGGGGCATATAATCAAAGTTACAATCTAGCCCTTAGTTTTATTTGTAGAGTAGTAAAATTAAAACATGACTTTTTGGTTTGCTTTTGTTTGTTGCAGCCTGCTGTATATGGCTGATGATAAATTTGTTTCCCTCCTTTATAACAGTATTGTTTGGGGTGGTTTTTTTTTTAATTTTTGGTCAGCTTTTCATTGCTCCTTACGTCCAACATGATGCACCTGTACTAACTACAGAATAACTAGTACTAAGCATGTTAACTATAGATCCAGTTTTCAGTGGTGGCCTCTAAATTATTACAAGCCAGATTTGTTTATTTGTGTATTCAATAGGCATTTGTACATGTAATTCAAGTAATTAGGCACACAATTCCCAAATATCCAATTTGCAAATCCAAATGTGGGGTTTGTGTGCATGTTTACAGGCCAAGTTTTAAATGTGTCCTTATGATAATAACAGGGATGAAAGTGAATTCCTTATATTTAAATTCCACTATTGCCACCCCCTAAGCTTTGAAAAATCGTGAGCCAGGACTCAAAAAAAAAATCGTGAGTTTGACTTTAAAATCATGACATTCAAATATGTTTTGGGTGCTTTTTGTCTTCTGTTTTTTGAGTCTTTAGGGTTCATGTTTTCAAGTTTTTCTCAGCAACCATGAGAACTAGA